CCTTGGTAGATAACGGCGAATGGGTCCCGTCCCGTTTGAGAAAAGCAACGTCTTTATCACTTTCAACTTTCAACTTCCATTACACGTGCTGTCATTGCACTCTACATTGCTTATTTCTTTTTTGACCCTCATTTGCCTTGAAATTTGAAACCTGGAATTCAAAACTCTTCTCCGCTTTTCATGACAATAATAATCTTACACCCACCATAAAATTTACATAATATTTTTTTAATCTTTTTCTTATTTTATTTATTATATAAAAAAGATAAACATAAAATTAATATTGTACAAGTTGTTATATAATTTTTTCTTTACATGCAACATAATTTTATTCATAAAGTCATAAATACATATAAAGAAGAAAAATATATTTATTTTAAGCTAATAACCCATGTTCTGTATTAAATTTTAATGATTTAATCAATAACAATATATAACTTAGTTATTATTTTATCCGTAAAATTTTTATTAAAAATATAATTTTATTAGTTTTGACAATTAGTATCAATAAATATTGATTAAATATATAATCTTATTATTTAAATGTTATTGAATCAATATTATTATTATTTTTTATACAATTACATTTTTAGAGTGTGTTTGTTTCGAATACCTTACAATATTTTTGAAAATATATGAATAAATAAGGAATGTATTTTTTTTTATTTTATAAAATTACAAATTTTATTTTTAAACGTAGAATGACAATGAAAAAACTTTTGTATTATTATGTTTTTGTTTCCGAAGAATGATGTGTGTAAGAGTTAAAAATAACAAGCCATTTATAGGTTTAGTTTTTTTTAATTATGTTTCTATCATGTTGAAATTAATGTATGTATAATAATAACAATGACGATAATGATATAATATCGATACTAGTAATGGTTACCAGTGATAGTATTAATAATAGTGATGGTCGCAATGTTTATTTATAGTGATAACATTAATTTGAATTAATGTAGTTAATTATTCAAGGAGAATATTTTTATTTTTTATTTTAGCCTTTTCATACAAAAGGTTAAATTGTATTTTTAGTATCTTTATTTTTTTCAATTTGTAATTTGGTCCTTTACTTTAAAATAAAAATATTTAGTCTTCCTACTTTTAAAAATATGAAATTTTGGTTCTATTGTTACTTTGATATTTGTTGATTGTTAAAATTTGACGTTGTTCAATAACATAACACTTAAATGATGTGATATTTGATGACATGATATTTAGGAATAAAAATTAAAAATTAACATAAAAAATATCTATTTGTATCTATTTTAATGAATGCTTAATATTTATTTTATTAATAAGTATTATGAGTTTTTTAGCTTATTATTATTATTATTATTATTATTATCTCCAAATGACATATCACTAAATTTCGTATTTTTTAAAATTAGAAGGATCAAATATCTTTATTTTAAAGTAGAAGATTATAATTGTAGTTGTAGGTTGACAAAATTGAGAGATAAAAAATGCAATTTAACTCATATAACATTAGTAATTGCATTTAATTATGTTTATTGTATATAACTTCATTATTGTATTTATAATACGAATATTTAGGTTAAATTTAATTATTGTTTAATATTATTTAAAAATACTTTGATATAGTATCTAGTATTTTAATACGTGTAATGTACCAAATAAATATTTTTGTTAGCTAAAATTTATAATAAATAAATATTTTTAAATATATAAATTACTATATTAATATAAAATTCATACTAAATATATATTTTTGAAAATATAAATTATATTTTAAATTTATAATAAAAAAACTATAGTGTGATATAAGATTATTTGTAATTATTGATAATTTCTTTTAAAAATTAATAAAACTCAGTTTAATAATAAAAATGATATCCTAAAAGATTTTAACAATTAAGAAAATTATGTATACGAAGATAATTTGACATGAGTGGGGTAGAACTACAATTATAGAGATTCTTTTTAAGTTAGTTGTTAAATTAAATAAAATTTGAAACTAAAATTATGAAACGTCTTTGAAAGAAATAAAAAAAAAAAGAGCTCAAGTATGAAGATTCATATAGATATAAAGTATTCCGTACAAAAATAAATAAGAATTCATAAAATCTTTTAATAGCTCATCAAACCCCTCAATATGTGTTCTACTACCATGCATTAGTCAACGTGATCACACGGATCGATCATGCTTGCTTATTGAGTTTGTCATCTGAAAAACGTTATCGAGGATATAAAGATCGAAGACACACCACATTCTCTTAAGTGTCAAACTTGAAGGTCGTGAGTGTTGTTTTGATTGAATGTTTCAAAACCAGAGGGTACACAACCTCTTAAACGTCAAGCCTAAAAGACCTTAAACGTCTAGTTTAAAAGACAAATGTTTTCTAGCTAGGTTGTATGATCAACATTTAGATACTCCTTATGAATTTATATATAAATACAAAAAAATAATTTAACACAAATTAAGAAAGTTAATTAATTAAATATATTTAATTTTACAATTTTAAATAAAAAATATATGAAATATCATTAATAACATTTACTGTAGATAATGTTAGCTCTCATTTATTATCGTAGATGTATTTTTAAATTTAGAGGATTCGATAAAGTTTAATTGATTAAAATACGCTTATATTTCAACAAATAAAATTTAAGTATATTTTTACTTATATATAAGTTTAAAGGGAGTAGTCTACAATTTCTTGAGAGTTAAACTTAAAAATTCGTGTATTTAAGGAGTCTGGTTATGAATTTGACCCAACAAAATTTTGCACCTTAATTGAATTAATATACTAATATACTTTCATTTTATTCGATATTTCAAATCAAAACAATTCAATTATAATTGAATTATTTTTTAAAGGTATCTTTTAGTCAAAAGCAAAAGGCACATAATCTGAAGGTCGAATGAGAGCTCCGATCAAATATTCGGGTGCGGGAAGTACCTACAAAAGGCACTTCGATGCTTAAGTCAGGATAAACATGAATATCGATAGTAGTAAATGAACAATGACTTTACCTCGAGATGTCACTAGTGCAAAAATTAGATTTAAAATCGGAGTTTTAAGATCGGTTACAAGGTAACCGATCTTAAAAGTGACGCAGTGACAATTTTGTAAATAATATGAACACTTTTAAGATCGGTTAAAATTTAACCGATCTTTAAAGTATTTTTAAAATTGGTTATTTTATGACCGATCTTAAAAGGTATGTCCGACACAACTTTTAAGATCGGTTACAAAAGAACAGATCTTAAAAGTTGTATCAGACATCACTTTTAAGATTGGTTATTTAAGAACCGATTTTAAAAGTGTTACTTTTAAAATCGGTTATCTCAGAACCGATTTTGTATGTAGTATACAAAATCGGTTCATAAATAACCGATTTTAAAAGTATCGTCAGAAACTTTTTATATTTCCCTCCATTCTCATTCTCTTTAATCTTTCCCTCCATTCATATTTTTACTCTCTCGCGCTCTCATTTTCTAAAGTCTCCAATAAGGTAAATTTTGTTGTCATTTTCGTTTTCGTCTTCTTGTGCTCTTCTTGTGTCTTTTTTCATTTTCTCATGTTCTTCTCTTGTCTCTATTTTTGTTATAGCTAGGTTCATTTTGGGCAAATTATGAAACTGGAACGGGCCGTTCTGCAAGGAGAACGGGCCGTTCTGCAAGGAGAACGGCCCGTTCTGCTAGGAGAACGGGCCGTTCTTCAGGAAGAACGACCCGTACTCATTTTTAACAACCTAGAACGGCCCGTTCTAGTTTAATTTTTTTCACAGCCTAGACTTTTAAGATCGGTTGTAAAACAACCGATCTTAAAAGTTAACTTTTAAAATCGGTTATTTAACCGATTTTAAAAATCTAACTTTCAAAATTGGCTCTTTTAGAATCGGTTATGGAACCGATTTTAAAAGTTAAAAATAACCGATTTTAAATGCCTTTTTTCCACTAGTGTGTGGACTATATATACTGATGTAAATGGGCCCTGCATATGGTAGGTCTCCTTTGTGTTTTGTCAAATTAGGTAATACAATGCTTAATGACTGACTACCTCCTTAATCTCGTGTTTGTCCTTATTGATCATAATTATTGTTCCAAGTATGGTATTGGTCCCCTCGACCATTGGCCGAGTCGAGAGATGTAAGTCATATGATAAACCTAGTCATGTGTATCGAATGAGATCGTACTTTCGGGCTCGGCTACTAGCCAGGCCGATACGTTCCCATCAATTGAGATTAGTGAGAGCTTTTGGGTCTTGGCCATTAGCCGGGCCGATTTACTCTCATCGATTAGAATTGATCTGTTTCGATCGCCACACATTGTCTTGGCCGTTTCGGGTGCCGAAATGACCGACACGTGACGTGCCACGTGGTTGTTCTCAATCCTCTCGGTACACATTGCAAGACATGAGATCCATTCAAGAGTTTAATCTATCTCAATAAACCTTTTTTCATAGACACAAATAAGAAATAAGGAATTGAATCCTTAACCAGATCTTTAAGGAATAATGTTATCTTCGAAGAATGTCATACCTTGTTGTTAATTGAATTAACTTAAAGTCAACTAAACTGATTATTTTTTAAACAATTAAACGAAAGTACGAAACTTAAATATACTGAATTTGAATTTTATTTACGTATACCGAAACCCGGTACGCCTCGATCTAGTATCTGAGTGTACTTGAGGTGTATGTATGAAGGTGGAAGGTTAGTAGCTAGTTGCGTTTCCTCTCTCTCACACGTACACGCACATTTTGTTCATCAGCCACCGACTCCGAATATAGTAAAAAAGCAGAAATTAATTATCCTATGTAAGAGATTCACGTCATTTTCTTGCCTCAAGTCCATCATAACTGAGAAGCTAGCGTTTTGGCATTTTGTATCGAAGAGGAAGACAAAAGGGTGCGTCATTTTCAACCTTGGTGATTGAAAGAAAGAAAGAAAGAAAGAAAGTATAGAGAGTTAGCGTCTTTTGTCCTCCACGCAGCTTAAAACACGCAGAGGCAAATGTAGACACTCCCCTCCACACGTTTTCATCACACTTTCTTATTTCTTATTTTATATTTCTTCCTTTTCTGCTCTGCAACAAAAGCCTCTTTCAACCATTTACATCACCGATTCAACACACCCTCCTTCCTCCCCATACATCATCACATGAGTGTGTGTGTGTGTTTCGTTCACGAATGCAAAAGAGGAAAGAGAACGAAGGTGGTGTTGAGTATATAGATTATATAGTAAGAGGGGCTCATCGCATGTTTGCTTCACGCAAGCAACTAAATATGTGGGGGTTAACCCTTTCCCTCCCTCGCGTGGCTTTAAAGACTTCTTCTATATACCCTTTTTAAATAATCATCATTAAAATACTAACACCCCACCAAACCCTAAATTCCTACAATATTACAAACTTCCCTCCTTCTTCTTCTTCCTCTTCCTTTTCCTATTCTCCCTCTTCCTTAACTTAATCCCTTCCCTCCCTTCAAAACTCATGATCTTACACTAACCCTAGCTAAACCAAACAAAAAAAGCTACGACCCTTTAAAGATGAGTATAAACTCTAGTTGTAGTGGTGGCAACAATAGTAACAATAACAATGGTGGTGGTAACAGTAGTGGTGGTAGCCCTTGTGGAGCCTGCAAGTTTTTGAGGAGAAAGTGCGTGCCTGGTTGCATCTTTGCTCCATACTTTGATTCGGAGCAAGGTGCCACGCATTTTGCGGCGGTGCACAAGGTTTTTGGTGCTAGCAACGTTTCCAAGTTGCTCCTTAACATTCCGGTGCATAAGAGGCTTGACGCGGTGGTCACAATTTGCTATGAAGCACAGGCACGGCTTAGAGACCCTGTGTATGGTTGTGTTGCTCATATCTTCGCACTTCAGCAACAGGTAATTCACAATAATCGATTAATTAATTGGTGGGTTAATTGGCTCATGATTTGTTAGCAGCTTTTGATATATTATTAATAGAATAAGTTAATATAGTGATCGCACATGTGGTTGTAGGGATAAGGATGAGGATGAAGATGTTGTTGTTGTTTTCTTTGCATATTTGTTAATAATTTGTTTGCTTCTTTTGGCTGTCTTATCGTGAGTATCTTCTCCCTAAGCTTTGCCAGCTATAGTAGCTAGCTTTGGCCAGCTGAATCTTAGAATGTGGTCAGTGTTTTAGACTCAACCTTTTTCTTCTTTTCTTGACTTGAGAATATGTGAGCAGTTTAGTATGGATTCTAGGAATTTAGAATTAGAAGGTCAGGATTGTAGATGCATGGTAGATGGATTCCTATTTTTATACATTGTACTTACCATAAACTGAAAAAGAAAAAGATAACATATATATGTTTAATAGTGTAACCCCTGCTTTTGTTTTGTTTTTTACCCGAGCATTGATGGGGGGATTTTAATGACGTACTAAACCCCCAGTTTTGATCACTACATCAAGTTTGAAGGGTTTTGAATTTTGGTGGTGATCACTTTGAAACTCCTCACACAGGTACAAAGATAAGGAAAGGAAAGGAAAAGAAAATTATAATGACTAGTAGTCCGTGCCTATGTGAATTATTTTTAAGAAATAATAAATAATAAAACTTATCTAGTAGTGAATGATTATTAAAAATACAGATAATTATATTAGGATTTGCATAAAAGAATAAAAATGTTGTAATTTGTAAAAAAGTAGTTATAAAGTTAAAATTAGGCAAAAATTGTGTACTCCAAAAGTTAAATTCTTTTTTATTATAAATAATAATAATATTTATTATTATTATTATTATTATACACTTTGAATATAAAAGTTGTATATTATACTAATTAAACTTATTTTAATATGACTTTTAAAAAATTAATATAAAAGTTAATTAATAAGTTTTAAAATGTTAGCGTACTCTAATTAAATTCTTAATTATTATTTGAGTTTTTCAAGGAGCGATCCATTGACAATTAAATGTTTCATTTTAACTTAATTTAAAGAAATTATTATTTTTATAAAGAAATTTTAACAAATAGTTATTTTAGTTTTTGAAGTTAATCATTTTTTTAGCATACATAAAGGTTTGTCTAGATAAATTTATGCATAAACACTTGTAAGAGAAAAATTAGGATGAAAAAATGAAATGAAATTTTTAATAAAATAAAATAAACTTACACATAAGTTAAAAATAAGTTTTTAGAAAAATTAATCTGAGTTTTTTTTTTTATAAATTAATTTATGCATAAATTAATTTTAATTTTTATAGAAATTTATTTTATTCTATTTTTTTTTATTTTTAAAAGTTTTTATAGAATTTAAATACTATTAGAATAAGTTCATTTTATAAAGGTGTGTACTTATAAATTACTATATTTCTTAAAGGGAGAAAATTGTTCTCTATATATTCTACACCAATGGCTATGCATACATGGTAGGAGTGCTTTGTGCCCTCCTAAAGAGGAACAAAAGTTGGGTTGGGGCCTTTGGGGAAAGAGGAAACAAGGTAGGGCATGCAAAGAGCCATGGAACATAGGGGACAGTTTCTTTGCTTTTTTTTTTTTTTTTTGCTGAAATTCACAACCCTTAATCGATTAACAAATCATGTGGTCGGCGGTTACACAAATTGGCACATAGATCTTCAACCCTCCGACCATTAAAACGTCTTCGTTTTCGCTGGTTTTATGGGACATGGTCGGTTAGTTTCTTGGGTTTTCCCAAGCGGCTACGTTTTTCTGTCTCTATCCTTCTTATAAAATCACACCATGTACGTTTTTCTGTCCCTATGTGATCTTTAGTATAAAATTCTTAACATCAATAAAAGAATCACTGTGTAATCCCACACTTGTTCTTTTATTTTATTTTTTTTGAAAAATAGTGGTGATCTGTGAGAAAGAGACTGCACCATCAAATCAAGCCAGCAACCTTCCTTAAATTGAGGACTTTCTTTTTCTTTTTTCTCATTTTTTTAGGAATAATATATATTGCTTTATATGCATAAAAATAATGAATAGCTTTAAGGTAACAAATCAATGCTGATTATATGTATTTGCTATTATGTGAGCATGTAAGACAAGATTATGAAGAGATTTAAAAGAATTATGTTGTGAACACATGACTTTGTACAATGTTAATACATAGTTGTATACTGCCATGTGACTGTTTAACTAATAGTCAATTCATCTCCCCTATCTTAGATGTTAGTAAATTATTTTTTATTTGATTATACAAATATAATTAGCTAATCCCTATGCTCTAATAATTGGTCATTGTCAGAAATTCTGTTTTTTAAACACTAGTCATTTTCAAAATATATGTTGAAGATATATGTATCGTTTCAAACTATCATATTTTCTCCTTTAAGTCTAATCATATGAGTTGTTTATTTCCCCCCAAATGACAATTCTTGCAAAACTCTTGTTTTATAACCTCGAGAAGTTGTTTTAAAGTCACGCTTTCATACTTTTGTCATTCTTGTAAGTTCATTTACTTTCGTGAAACTCAACATTTTTGTGCTGTTCAAGGTCCTATCATGTTAAGCAAACGCCACTTAAATTATGATTCTACCTATGAAGAACGTCCCAATTAATTCCCGTTATTAGTTTTATGTATCATAGGGGCAAAATGTGAAAGTTTAAAAACTAAAGTTTTTAATAGATTTTGTTTTAAGTTATCACCACAAGAATTTGTCGTTGATACTCAAACAAGTGGATTTGGTTCCTTTAAATTAATTAAAAATAAAATAAGTAATTTCTATGAATAATAAGAGTCAAAATATGGATGTTTTTACACTTTGTAATTAACTCTATAGGTGCATATATTATTAACTCCTCGATTAAAATTGTTTGCTTTAATTTAGTGAGTTGTTCACTTTAAAGAAATTATATCCCAAACAAATATTAAAGGTATATTAGTAAGAGACTAAAAAAATTAAAGAAATATCAATGGAGCTGATATAGTGAAACATGTTAGTCTTTCATAACATGATGAATTAAGGTTCAAATATCTATTAAGAAAAGTGTTTACATTTAGTATCTGACTATGTTTCAAACATGATTATCTTTTAAAAAAATACCAAACAAAAGAAATAAATTAAAGAGGGTGTTTTTCATTGATATCTCTTATCTTGTGCTCCTACCAAGCACATAATTAAGATGAAAAGTTGTTTTTCAATATAAACAAACTTTACTAACAATGCAAACTTACTTATCTTGCTTAATTATTTGTTCAACAGGTGGTGACTTTGCAAGCAGAACTTTCCTACTTACAAGGGCACCTTGCAACCCTAGAGTTACCCCAACCCCAACCACCACCACCACCTTCTTCTCCACAAGCAACCATGGCACCTCCGGTGGTCTCAGTAGCTGAACTCCCATCATTAACCACTTATGACCTCTCAACACTTTTTGATCCCATGGCCCAGACTCCTTCATGGGCCCTGCAGCCCAACAGGCCCATAGACTCACGTCAATATATGGGTAGTAGTGGCACATCAACCACTACTAGTGCTAGTGCTAGTGGTGGTGATCTTCAAGCATTGGCTTGTGAGCTTTTGCATAGACATGGATCTTCCCCTCTTGCATGCTCTAATCCCTCTTCCTCTCACAACATTTCCAAATGAATATTCCTTGACTTATATAATCCACTAATCTTTGTCTTCGCTTCATATGTGGAAGACTAGGAATCAAGAGATCTTGAATTTTCAATGTTTCATATGAGAAAGTAATTAATATAATGGATCTATATTTTTTTTTAACTTCCTCCTTCCTTCATTCATTGTGATTTAAATTCTAGCTAGGGAACTAATATGTGGTTTATGAGTTCGTCCAATCATTTTGACCAATTTGAGCGTGGCCAAATAATGGTATATGAGATTCCTTTATTTTCAAATAACAATTTGTGATGATTAAAAAGTTAAAGGGAATGATATACAATTTGTTCTTGATTCCGAAGTCTCAAAGAACGAATTTGTCTTGTTCTTGATTTTATTAACTTTTCATTATTAATAGAATTCAATGTTGAAATACAAATAAGGTTTCATATTGATTGAACAAGAGAGTAAACAAAAATTTATAAAATATACACATATTTTATTAGTTGACAAGCCTTTTAAGTAATGATTAAAAACAAAACCCGATTGTTTAGTCCAAAATAAATAATATTTTACAAATGTAGAGTTGTGTATGCAAATATTTAAAATATTTTCATAAAAATAGTAAGACATTATCCCTCTCCATAGAAATATATCATTTCAGATAAATTTGTTAAGTTATGTGGTGAACAATTTAATTACCAACAAGATATATAAGAGTAAATATCTTGTTGATTAAAACATTAATGACTTAATATTTTAAAATATATCATTTATTGTATTCAAATGCTTTATTTTATATTTAATTTATTTAAATAAAAGGATTTAAATATATTAGAGACACTAGTAGATCTGTCAAGTTGAAAAACTTACTAATGTATCATGTAATTGAACAACAAACTAATGCAGAGACCTGAATTTTTCATTTAGAAACCTTAAAAACTTAATTTCTACAAAAATGATGAAAACCATAATCATAAAAAAAAAAA